ATATAAGAAGAGACATTTCTTTTTTATAAATATAACAGTGAAAAAAATTCACTTGCAGATTTTTCTGTAATACGGAAATTAAGTCCTAGATTTAATCCAAAAAATTTCTCGCTGAATTATCCTCTAATGTTGAAGATTGGGCATTGCTTTCGTCGTTCATTAATTTCAAAGATAGTTTCTCTATCTTGTTCAAATCTTTTTATTTTATATTGCAAGATATATAAAAGTTACTATTATTCATATATTTATACTTTTTTGGAAGATATTACATCTATACATATTTTTATTACATGTTTCTATCTCAAAGGAATAATTTTCACTTGATTATCTGCGATTTCCCTGCACATGTGCATCGACATAGAACCTCTTTATGGCAAGGCACGATGTTATCTACGCGACAAGGCTAACGAGTTGTCTCCGATCCTTCGCGCTATTGCTCTTTATTACGATTGGCCTCTCCCTCTGCCTTTCGCCGACGATCGCGGGAACTATCGCAAACTGTTTCCGTATTCCGGACCACCGGGCGAGGGAATTATCTTGGAATAGCACCGGTCGCTGCCTATAACTACCTCGCGAGCGGGATCGACTCGTGCGCGCGGTCGGCTTTGACAACGGTTAAGTATCGCCGTCGGTCTGCGATAACACAAAGGAGCGCGCGATATCTTGTTGTGAAAGAACCGAAAGGAAATTTACTCTTTCTCTTTTTAGCAAATCTCCGATTCAGCTCAAAGAATACCTCGATCTGCTACGAACAATTCCGGATAGTGTAAGATCGGATATCGTACAAGCTAATGGAACAAAACGATGATTTAAAGCGTCGAATCGGTTGATTAGACACTTGTGGTCTTACCTTAGAAACGGAATACAACATGTGCTTAGGCGTTCTATCATTTTTTGTTGACCACATTAAACGGTTACTTTTCAACTTTAGATCATTTCTTTTTCTTTTATGCTTGTGACTTGATCTCACTATCGTTACAAGCGATGTCGTTAGAAGCGATGTCGTTACAAGCGATGTCGTTACACAAGCGATGTCGTTACAAGCAATGTCGTGACCATATAACTTCGTCGAGATATTCGCTTCGAATGCGTGATTATAATTTTCTTGCATTCTTCCAATATCGCAAAAAACTGAAATAATCTACATTCCTCGCGCAACTTTTTGTCCTATAGGAAGTACAATATATATAAAAATCAGAAAGATCGTTATAAATGCAGACTTCTGATTCCTCGTTGTATAAAAAAAAACTGCGATCTTTTTTACTTTCCTAGCGTGGTTGTGAGGCGAGATATAAATTATGTTTATCTTCCCGAACAGAATTTGAAAAAAATAGATATCGGTAGCACAACTAATTATAAAACATGTAAAACGTTGCACTAGCTGAATATATGGGATACCATTTCCGCCGTTGGCTGGACGATGGTCGAAGCGAAGGTACATGTACGACGAGTTCACCGACAATTTTATACCCGGTGGTTCATGTGAGGCCAAAGGCTAGCGAGTTATTAGCAGAAAATTACCGAGCGCTCGCGGTCTATTACGCGATACACGCCGAAGTGTCGCGCTTCGTCTCGGGGCCGTGAGAGAGTGGTGCTTTGGCTATCCCGTGTACCATGCCAGGAACACAAGAACACAGCCGCAACTATCAATCGACAACGCAGGATCCAACTATTCAACAGTGAATATCATTATCGCGACACGCGTCGAATGGACATTGTGTTTATAATTCTTATCTCGTCGTACGTATGCCTAGTGTCTTTCGACAATTTTGCAATTACAAGAAACTAATAAACATCCCCTCTCTGAAAAAAAATTTTTTTAACAAAAATTCTCGTGCAATCTTATCTTCTTTTACTGTTGGAACACGTCAGTGTGTTTTTAAACGGGCAAAGGTTCACAAAGGCGGATGTTAAAAAGAGACCCACAGGTGTAAAAGGAATAGCGTTTTTTTATAGATTTTAATCTCCTGAATACGATAATGTTAATAAAACGTTCGGGATCGATGAGGCACACCTTGAGAATTAAGCATAAACATGATATATTTAAATAAATTTCAATATTCTTGCTTACTTTTCAAAGTGTTCCCCAAATATCACGAACTTTTTAATAATTTTATCATACTCAGGAGGTCAAAATCTACAAAAAATACTATTTCTTTTACTTTCATCTGTCCTTTTTTAGAGGATATTAAAAAAGGTTCGGCTTTTGCCCAAAAAAGAGAATGTAAGTAAAAGAAATAGTGTTTTCTGTAGATTTTTTTATTTAAATATAATAAAATGATTAAAAGTTCGTGACATTTAGAGAGAACACTTTAAAAAGTAAACAAGAATATTGAAATTTCTTTAAATGTATCACGTTCGTGCTCATTTTTCAAGATGTTTTCTATCGATCTCGAACTTATTATTAACATTATCGTATTCAGGAGGTCAAAATGTATATAAAATGCTATGCCTTACACCTTTATGGACAAAAATCGGCCTCTTTTTAACACATCCTCCTTTATAAAAGTTCCGATGTATCTATTTGTAATCACGTATTCTCTACAACATGACCACTAAATTACCGATCTGCTATTCGCTCCTGTATATCACACCGGAAAGTATTTCCCGTCGCGGAATACCTTCAGTATGTCCTCGAGTATCCTCTTTTCCCGCGTCCGGGGAAAATCGTCGACCAGTGGAATCTCGTCCACTGACATTCCGGTTCCATATGTGTGCAGCCACAAACGGCATTTCGCGCATACCGCTCGCGGTATAACTGCGCTGCTAGAAGCCATCCCTTTTATTTCTTTCTCTCTGGCTCTCTCTCTCTCTCTCTCTCTCTCTCTCTCTACCATTTTCTCCCAGTTTTTCTTCCGAATGCAAATTGCATGACCAGTTGACGCAGTAACATCACCGGACTTGTGGTTTGGAACAGTTACGTTACATAATAATCTTTACTTCTAATATCTCTCTTCCACATATGCTATAAATTCGTTTTTAGCAATATGCAATATAATATCGGCTGTTTGATCCCTAGGCTGCGTAAAACATTAGTGCAAAATCACTTCTTTTCCACCCCACATCGCAAATTATTC